GTGGTGGTATGCTGTGGAGTCGGTTCTGACTCATAGCAACCCTACATAGGATTACTGAGGCTGTAAATCTTTACAGGAGCGGAAAACCTCATCTTTCTCCCATGGAACAGCTGGTAGTTTCGAACTTCTGGCTTTGAAGTTAGCAGTCTGACTTGTAACCATTACACTACCATACAGACTCTGATTTATGTGGTCACTAACATTTTGGAGGAACTTGAGTTGTCCTTTAATGTCTGACCTAATATTTATTACACCTAGTAAATGTGCACATCATGAAGCAACATTTATTTTGTATTTTAGCAATATATGTATTTTTAAAGCAGGGTGGTGAGTGTATGGACATTTCTGGAAGATTGTGCTTAGATAACCATAAGCTGATGGATGGAAGCAATACAAAGATATATTTATATTTTTATAAGCTCATGTTTTCCAAGAGGCAAAAATAGCATGGCAAAAATATGACAAAGACAGAAATAACTCATTGGAGAAGATGTCTTGAGTAAAAAGGCATTAAGAAAGATGTATTCTAACAAGTTACCTCTTTTGAGATTACAGTAATTTAGCTATTGTTAAGTGCTGTCGAGTTGATTCGGACAGTATAGGGTTTCCCAGGAGCAGCTGGTGGGTTTGAATTGCAGATTTAGTGGTTTTCAGTCTGGTTCTTTTACTACAGTGCCATACCAGGAGTTCAAATTAGCTTTCCTCCCACAGATAATTAACAAATTTAATTGTATCTACTTTTCTCTTTGAACCCTGGCTCAGCAAGTGCAAATTAACTTTAACTTGATGATGAAACTTTAGTTTATCAAGTAATTTTTCTAATCCAAATTTAAGATGTTGTTGTTCAGTGCTGTTGACGTGGTTCTGACTCATAGCAACATTGTATAGGGTTTTCAAGGAGTAACTGGTGGGTTTGAACCGCTGACCTTGCAGTGCTTATCTTACAGCACCATATCAGGACAAGTCTAAGATTGTAGTTTGTATTAGTGTTAATCATACATAATTTAAAAATTAAATGTAAGCATTATGAAAGAAATCCTAGTAAACATACTCAGCCTGAAACACTATGTATAATGTCAGGGAACACTCATATAATGTCAGGGAAATTCCACCCAGTCTAGCAACAGGGAAAGCACATGCTGACTCTCTGGAATTTTCAACTGCTTCAATTGGTGCAGTGGCTGCTTGCTTGAACATGGTCACATGAATTCTGGAGGGTGGCAGAATGAAGAGCTCACAGGTTCTGGCTCAGGTAGACCAGGCTTCAAGTTTTAGCTTTGCTGTTTACCTGTGAGACCTCAGCCAAATCAAACCTCCCGAGTCTCGTTTTTCTGACCTTGGGGTAGTCCCACCTTTCTGGAAGTTACGGACAGCATATGTGTAGAGAACCTGGAGCATAGTAGGTTCTCAATTATCACGAACTTTCTCTCAGGTTCAGAGAAGCCCAGAACAGCATTACCCCAGGTTCTGCTGTGGCATCAAACTACACGTCGCTCACAGGGCATCAGAGAAAGCAAAGTTCTCTGTGCCACACCACCGTGTGTGATCTAACCAGCCATCACCTTGCAGAGTTCAACATGATTTTGCTGACAAACGTATAAAGGTACTCCTGGTTCAAGTGGCCTGATTCTTCAATGTTAACGAATTCCTGCCCAGGGTTCCCTTGAAAGGTCCTTTTTACTTTTCCTTTGTTATGAATTGGGCTGCTAATCTCAGTCAGCAGTTTGAAACTACCAGTTGTTCCGTGGGAGAAAGATGAGGCTTTCTGCTCCTATAAAGATTTGCAGTGTCGGAAACCCTGTACAGGGTCGCTATGAGTCGGAACTGACTCCACGGCACGTAACAACAACAACAAAAGAAACAAAACAGAACCTCCCCAAATAAATTGAAGAATGATGCTGCTTTTGTATGACCCAAATCCAATTACCAATCCCTACCAAAAATGAAGGAGCACAGTGGCTCTGTAGAATAAGAACTGGACTGCAATCTACCAGTTGGTGGTTCAAGTCCACCAGCTTCTCCATAGGAGAAAGGTGAGGCTTTCTACTCTCACAAAGATTCACAGCCTCAGAAACCCCACACAGGGTCACAATGAGTCAGAACTGACTTGATGGCACTTAGCAACAAACAACAACAGCCAGAAATGAAATATATAGATACGGTCATACAGTCTGTTACCCTAGGGTAGATTAGCAGTTCCTAGACCACCCATTGAGAACATCAGTCTTCAACTAAAATGCCAAAAGCATTATTAAAATCTCCCATCTGTTTCCTTATTTTACAAATTTATCCTGGATTTATCCTACATGTGCAAATTCTGCACAGGACGAGCACAACTTTGTGTAGGAGATAAAAACCAGTAATGATTTGCAGGAAATAAGTAATATTCTAGGATCTCTAGAGGCACAGTAAGGTAAGTAAGTGTTGTGCTACTAACTGCAAGGTCAGCAGTTCAAACCCATCAGCCACTTGGCAGGAGAAAGATGAGGCTGTCTGCTCCTGTAAAGATTTACAGTTTCAGAAACTCTTAAGGAGCAGTGTGATGGTGGTATAAGTGCATTGAGTCAGTTCTGACTCATAGCAAACCTGTATAGGGTTTCCAAGGAGTGGCTGGTGAGTTTGAACTGTCAACCTTACAGTAGGCAGTTCAGTGCTGATCAGACACACCAAAACTCCAGTGGGTAAAAGGAATATGCTAGAAAGATTTTCTTAGTCACATAGTTCTTAGATTAAATAGTTTAAATTTGAGCCTTCAAATATTTTTATGTTTTATTTTGGATACTTTGGAGGCAGTGAAATAACAGGAAGTTGCAGGTGTTTATCAAAACCTTGGATGAACTTATAGAAAAGACAGGTGCACCATGGCTACCCCCCATTTGGCTTCCATTGCAGTATGTGCTCACATGACCTGTTTAGAAGATGGGTTTCCTTGGAGTCTTGTTGCTGTTGTTAGTTGTTGTCATGTTGTTTTTTTTTGTAATAATACCTTAAAGTTTACACAGCAAATTAGGTTCCCTTTTGAAATTTTTATACACATTGTTCTGTGCCATTGGTTACAATGTTTACAGTGTCTCGGTAGTCTCATCATTTCCATTCTGTTTGTTCTGTTTCCATTGATCTAGCTTCCCTGCCCCTCCTTGCCTCCTTACCTTTGCTTGAGCGAATGTTGACCATGTGGTCTCACATAGTTCAGTGTTCAAGGGAGCACATGACTCACAGGTGAAAATTTTTATTTTATAAGCCAATCTATTATTTGATGGAAAGGTGACAAACCAAAATAGTTTCAATTCCATGTTCAATGGTTATCTTAGGGCCACAGTTAGTCTCAAGGGTTTTTCTAGTCTCTATTGGTCCAATAGATCTGGCCTTTTTCTTTAGGAATTTGAGTTTTGTTCTGCATTTGTCTTCCATTCTGTCTAGGTCCTTCTATTATGTCCCTGGTCAGAATGGTTGGTAGTGGTAGCTACCATCTGGTTCTTCTGGTCTCAGGTTAGGGGAGGCTATGGTTCCTTGGTCTATTAGTTCTATTGATTAGTTTCTTCTTTGAACCTTTGATTTCCTTCATCTTGCTTTGTTCCATACCAGTAGAGATCAGTAGTTGTACCTTAGATGGCTACTCACAAGCTTTTAAAACTGTCGACTCCTCACCAAGCTAGGATGTAGAACATTAGCTTTGTTATGCTACTCAATTAAGTTAACCTCCCAACCCCGCACCAGACTGCAGTCATGTTTTGACTTTAATTGGAGGAAAACAAGTTAATATAAATGGCATCTGCCCCACAGCATAAACTTGTACTTGATTACATACAAATTGGTTTACCTAAATTAAATTAGATCCTATTTAAGAAATTAAAGGAATTCCTTACTTGGGATGAGCAAGTATGAGTAGGACCCACACGTCTGGTCCTCCTGAGCATACTTCCACCTCTCCTCTACTGCGTCCCCCCCACCCCCACCCCCACTCACCAACCATGTTGAGTTTGGACTCCAGAAATAGTTGGAGCAAACCCACTGTCATTGGGGGAAGATTTCTGGTAGACGTGACCCCCAGAAATTCCAAGGCATAGTAGAAAGTAGAGATTCACAAAAGCATTTCCAATAATCCCTAAGAAATCAAGCAAGAAACTTATTACAAACCTTTACTTTTGCAGTCCAGCGTTTGTGTGGGAAACACGTAATTGTGGCAAAGAGTAGAGTCTACCTCAGGCTTGATAACTGGGGGTCTCCCTGACACTTGAGGTTTTGGGTCGAGTTGTTCATTTTTTTCTTCATTACATAACTGTTCAGATTGTACCTGCCGCAGTTTTTTATTTTTCAGTTCTGGTGGACTTTCACATTTGGCATAATTCCCCAAATTCCTGTTTCTTGGAATCTGCAACATTGAAATAAGCGTTTCTAGCTCACAACTACAGTGCCACGGATTGTCATACAGGCGCAGGTAGCTCAGGAAAGGAGTGTAAATGAACGCCTCCTCCGTCAAAACCTTTATCTGGTTGTGTTGCAGTAAGAGAGTGGTAAGCTTGTTTAAACCAAAGAAAGCCTCACTCTCAACTTTGGAGATCTCATTCTGTTGCAGATCCAGGCTTTTCAGCTTTTTGAACTTGGAAAACATGTTGTTGTTCAGAATGCGGATCTTGTTTCTTGCTAACAGCATGTGCAGCAAATCCTCGGGCCAGTCAGGCAGCACATAAACTAGTTTTCTTTCTTGGCAATCTAAGTATTTCTCGTGAATATAAGTGTACACTTCACAGGGAAGGCCAGGCGCATACCGTTTGACCGGGTTGGAGCCTCTCCGGCTCCCACCGGCCCTGCCATGATGCGCTCGGCTTCTCGCACTCCCGGGGCTTGCTCTGAGGAGCTCAGCGGCTTTACAAAATAAGAGCAGGGTTACAATGGTAACCACGCGCATCCTGACATCCAGCTGGACCCAATCACTGGGCGTGACAGATGGAGCAAGAAAAGTATTCCAAATCCAGTTGGAGTAATCTTAACTAAGGCAGTTGAGGAACAAGGAGACCCAGCTGGGGTACGTGGAGTTCCTGGGTTGGAAGAGAAAAAGAATATTAAAAGTTGTCCAGGACCATTGAAAGCATTGTGATATTTTTTAAGCAAGGGCACTCCAGATACAAAGATTTATGAAGTGCTGAAGGCTGCACACACCTGTTACTTGCCTGTAGTCGTGGTCCTAACTTTGAAATCAACTGTTGCCTGCTAACTGTGCAACTGCAGGCTATTATTTAGCCTCTTCTTCTGCAATCGTAAACTATGCCTAAGGACACCTCATTACATTGTTGGGGGGATAAAATGGGTTGATGCCTGTAAGGCCCTTCACAGGCCTGGTTCTGTGTACACCACAAATGTTAGAGAGCTCATCATTATGAAAACGTAAACCTGTAGCCCATCACCTTAAGAAATGATGGGAATGCCTTTCAGCCTTGAGATGAACAAACAAGGGTAGGACTCAAATGCCTGTCCTCCTGAGCCTGCCTTTTCTTCCTTTATTGTCTTCCTGAAACCAGTCATGTTGACTGAGGGCTCCAGAAATGCTGGGAGTACATTGCGTTGCTTTTGTCGTGTCCTACAAGTCTTGGCTCACATTACCTTCTCAGTGAAGCCTTCTCTGACCACCCTCTTTTAAACGACATGTCCTCCTTTTCACCCCCTTTCTGGTTTTATTTTTCCACAGCACGTATCACCATCTGTCAAAGTAGATATGTGACTTCTTTTATTTATTGTCAGTCTCCCCCAGCTATAACAAACTCTCCAAAAGTCAGAAAATCCAAACCCACTACATCAAGTCAATTCCAACTCATAGCAACCCTATGGAACAGATTAAAACTGCCCTGCCGGGTTTCCAAGGCTGTAGACATCTATGGCAGCGGACTGCCACGTTTTTCTCCCACAGAGCTCATTTTTGGATTAGCCACCTAGCCCTTTAAGCACTATTCCACTAGGGTTCTGTACCTTCCATAAGGGCAGGACTTCTGTTTTGTTTGCTGCTGTATTTTCAGCACCTGTAGAGTCTCTGGCACATAGTGGGTTCCTAATAAACATTTGTTGAATTTATGAATGTGTAAGTCATTCATATGTAGTCATTCTGTAAGGAAATCTACCTCATAAACTTAATTACTTATATTACTTTGGCTGTGTACTGATGACGTGTAAGACCAACACATTAAGAATTGTATTTGTTGTTGTTGTTTTTCATTCTGAAAATATTTCTGGTTTGCATTTATTGCTGAGGACATAGTCCATTCTTGGCAAAGGAGGAAATGCTCAATATGAATTTATAATGAATAGCATTTCTGTTGTTATTCACGTGGGGCCCATGTAATTATAAACAGCAGATGTTTTTCTTTTTGGTTCTATTCATTGCATTGGTCTGAATGCTAGAATCACCTCTTGTCTGGAGTTTTCCTGTTCCTTGGGGTCTCTTCCACCTAAAACACCTTCCCCTCTTCTTTGCTCCAAGAATTCCTCTTATTCATTAGTTTGTGTGTTGTTGTTGTTGTTAAGTGCTGTCGAGTCGATTCCGACCCATAGTGACCCTGTATAGGGTTTCTGAGGAGCAGCTGGTGAGCTTGAACTGCTGACCTTGCAGTTCAAACGGCTTTGCAGTCTGGCACATTAACCCGTAGTGCCACACCAGGACTCCTGGTGTGTTTGTGTTGTTGTTGGTATGTGCTGTGGACTTGGTTCCGACTCATAGTGACCCTCTACAGGGTTTCTGAGGCTGTAAATCTTTACGGGGGGAGCAGAAACCTCATCTTTTCTCCTGCGGAATAGCTGGTAGTTTGGAACTGCTGACCCTGAGGATAGCAACCCGATTTATAACCACTATGCTACCAGAGGTGTGTTTGTATGGCCTACCCTAAATGCTTTCATTTTGTCTTGTATTTGGAGTTATACTTACTTTCATTCAGACGGGGGCATGGATTGTGGAGTGCTTTGCTGTCTTGCTATTTGTCTACATGCCTTGTAGTCTCTGAAAGACCATAAGCTGTGCCATGGCTTTTGGGTTTGGGGACCAGCTTTGAGACCATGCTCTGCACTTGCCTCTGGTGCTAGAGGTATTCAGAGGCTCAGCCCTTTCCAACCTTGCTCCTTTCTTCATCTGCATTTCATTGTAATGGAATTATTTGTAATTCTAATTTAAGACAGCATAAACATATATTGAACTCTATAAATGATGTGCACACTGTAGTGTTTAGAAGTGTACTGATGGCTGCAACTTACTTTGAAATCTATAAACATCTAAGATGGATTGTTGGATAGATAGAAAGGTAGACAAATGGGTAGATATGTGATGAAACAAATATTGTTGTTGTTAAGTGCCATCCAGCTGTTTCTGAGTCATAGTGACAATATGTAGGGTTTCCAAGGAGCGGATGGTGGGTTTGAACCACTGACTTTGCAATTAGCAATCCAGTACTTACCCTACAAGTGTCACACCAGAACTCCAAAGTAAATATGGTTATGGTGGTTATGTGCCATGGAGTTAATTCTGACTCATAGCCATGGTTTCCGAGGCTGTTGTTGTTGTTGTTAAGTGCCGCCGAGTCAGTTCCAACCCATAGCTACCCTGGACAGGGTTTCTGAGGCTTAAATCTTTACAGGAGCAGAAAATCTCATCTTTCTCCTATGGGACAGCTGACCTTGAGGTTCACAGGCTGATTCATAACCACTATGCTACCAGAGCCCCTTAAAGTAAATATAGTAAGATGTAAATGATAGAATCTAGGTGGTGGATATATGGGTAATTCATTGTACATTTCTTTTAACCTTTTTGTATGTTTTCTAAGAAAACAAAATGAATAAGCATTCTATAAAAATAAAACTAAACAAACCAGATTGTCTTTTTTCCAAGTTCTTTCAAGCTAAAAGTTCTAAGTATATACTGTTTTTCCAAAGGTAGAATTTTCCATTTTCTCCTTCCTCCACTAATCGTCAATCAATAATTGTTGTTGTTTAATGTCATGGAGTCGGTTTCGACTCACAGCAACCCTGTGTGTAGAGTTTCTGAGGAGCTGCTGGTGGATTTGAACTGCTGACTTTGCAATTCAAACTGACTTTACAGTTCAGCGATTATCCTACAGCGCCATACCAGTACTCTACAAATGATAATAAAATAAATATATTTTCAAACAAAAATAAAATAAACATATTTTATTGTTTATGCCATAAGAAACTCTATAACTGGAAAGATTACTTGTTAAGGGTTTTGTTTATTTTCTAACGTATCCATCACATTGAATGTAGCTGGAAAGCTTTACATGTAAACTATATTGTTTAGTGATGTGTAACTTGTTTGCTTTAGGTCACTGTAGAAATTTGCAAGAGCTGAACGTCTCTGACTGCATCACACTCACAGTGAGTAAACGAAGCTTATTTTACTGGTGTTTATGTACATCCAGACTTGCTCCATTGGAGTACTAGCATGCGGAGCTTTTATCAAAATACTTGCCAGTGCACTCATTTAGGACCAAATATGGACAAAAGCAAACTATGTTAAACATTGGCAAGAAATTCTATCCCATCTGTACATTGTTATTGTTCATCTTGTAGATATATCCTCAGTGTTGGAGCCTCTGGAAAGTAGTAACTATTCAACAATTATACAAAATGAACAATATTTATATTTAAGGTCATGTCTGTATGAAGCAGAAAAAGTTGGGTCCCGGTGGATACAATAGGCTTATTTCAGTGGCTTTCATGGCTCTACCTCTAGCCACTTACCTTCCTGACTCTTGCCTCCAGTCTTTCCTTCTACCTCCGATCAGTTTTCCACTCTGCGAGCATATAATACTCATCTTCCATTATCTACATACACTTCCACCTTTGATTATTGCTGCCGTGTGCTGTTGAGTTGGTTCTGACTCAAGCGACCCTGTATAGGGTTTCCGAGGAGCGGCTGGTGAGTTTGAAACACCATCCTTGTAGTTAACAGTCCAGTGCTTAGACTGCAGCATTGTTAAAGTCAAAGCTCTTTAACATGATCTTGGAGACTGTCTTGTGTTCTTGCCTCTGTCTCCTTTTCTTTTCTCACCTCACTCCAATTCCTGCTTGTACATTAGGTTTCAGGACCACAAGCTGACGTACTTTCTTAGCTGCAGTGTGCCAAGCTGTGCTCCTTGTGGTTTTGCCTTTGCTCATTGTATGCTCTTTCCTGGTATACCCGTTCTTCTTCCTCTAGTGAACAACTTCTCCTAATGCTTTATGTTTACTTTAGGTATCATCCCTTTTAGCAAGATGCCACTGACTCCCAGAGCTGGGCTCACTGCTCTTCCTCCAGGTTCCCGAAATAAGTAGCCCAAACCATAGGGATTCTGCCTCCCCCACTAGTCTAAGGGGCTCTATGAGTAGTAGCTCTGTCTAATTCTTTTTGGCAATCACATCACCCAGCACAGAGTTAGTATATAGTATATGCTCGATGGAGTCCTGGTGTGGCGCTGTACGATAAGCACTGGAACACAAGTCGGTGTGAACTACAAGGTCGGCAGTTCAAACTCACCATCCACTCCTTAGAAACACTATATAGGGTCAGTATGAATCAGAACCACTCGATGGTACTTAACAACAGCAACAATATGCTCAGTGGTGGTGCTGGTGGTGGCCCAATGATGAAGATCTCAGCTGCTAACTTGAAGGTTGGCTGTTTGAACCTATCAACTGCTCCACAGAATAACAGACCTAGGGATCTGCTTCGGTAAAGATGACATATATCCTAGGGCTTATGGGCACTTTAACTCTGTCCTATAGGTTAGCAATGAGTTGGGATCAACTGGACAGCGCACAACAGCAACATTGAAGTATAATTTCCATACCATATAATTCATCCATTGAAAGCATACCACTTAAGGTTTTTAGTATCTTCACAGAGTTGTGAAACTATCACCACAGCCAATTTAAATACACTTTTACCACCCCAAAAAGAAATGCTGTGCCTATAAGCAATGGTTCTTGATTCTGCTTTCCACCCCAGTCCTTCTAGCCTCATGCTATTCTGTTCAGCTGTTGACAGAATTTCTCTCTTTCTGAGCTACGTCTGTAGTCTTCAACATTCATTCATTCTTTATTATAATTGTGTTTACATTTATATCACCCCCTCTAGACTGAAAGTGTTTTGTAAATCCTCCTTTGGAATTTTTCTCAGAAATTTTAAAAGATGGGAGACTTATAAATAAATAAAATGTGGACATAAAAAATTGTAAACCCTCAGAACTACCCCAAAATACAAATTAAATATTTAAATTAGCTGTTTCATCCCTGTCCACTAGACTGTAGATGATTGCTTGAGACTGCAATGTAAACTAAGCATTTCTGGGGTGACATGCATAAAGAAAGCTACTTCTTTATGTCCAAAAGTACCCTTAGAGGGGATCCACAAGAAATGGAGGTATAAAAATGCTACAGACCACATTAGAGAGAAAAACCCAGTGCCGTTGAATTGGTTCGGACTCACAGTGACCCTCTGTCTATAGGACAGAGTAGAACTGCTCCACAGAGTTTCCAAGACTGCAGATTTTTAATGGAAGTAGATTGCTGGTGGATTTGAACCAGTGACCTTGCGGTTACCAGCTCAAGGCTTAACAGCAGAGAGAAAAGACTCTACTTTCTCTATTGTACTCAACTTTCTCCACTGGGAAAGTGGAGATGGGCTTCTTCATTAAGAGAGCTTTCAAATATTTGTTATCATATTCTTCAGATGTCTGCCTGTGAATACTGAAGCGGCGTATCAAAAGTGTTGATTCTGTCTGTGGATTTTTTAAAAAAATTTTCTTTAGCACCTAATGATAATTGTATTAGGTGTTATAGAGAATTGATTAATCAAGTTTCAGTTCCTACCCTCAACAGCTTTAATTTTGTACTTGAGTAGAAGAAGATCATATTCTTTAAATTTCTAAGAGGAAAGGCAAAACAATGCCATCTGTACTGAATTTGGGAACATCAAAGTCTTTTCTGACTTCAGAGTCTAATAATATAAAGGACTGATAATTTTATCCAGCTACATTTTACTATTGTTTTTCTACATGAGACATAGACTGGGGAATAGGCTTACATTTAAGGAGTTGGGTAACATTCACTTGTTAAGTGCCATCGAGTGGATTCCGACCCATAGCGACCCTGTATAGGGTTTCCAAGGAGCAGCTGGTGAGCTTGAATCACTGATCTTGCAGTTCAAACGACTTTGCAGTCTGACGCATTAGCCTACAGCGCCACACCAGGACTCCAACATTCACTTAAAAAGCCTTGATTTCTAAGAAGCGTGACTGAGGAACAGTATTATATTCAGAAAGATTCAAGTGCATTGTGAGCAAATTTATACACCATGCTATAACATTAAAATACATTAATCTCACATTCATATGGTCAAACATTTGAGGATCAAGCTCTTAGTTATTGTAAGTACTGATGTGATTGATCTGAATTCATTTGGAGGTCTAATAAGCTATTCCAGACATGAAAATGCAGAGTGATTTGGTTTTGCCTCGTATTTCAAAGGGAAAGTCCTGGGATGGGAAGACTTGGAAGGAGGTGTAGTGGTCACTTTCAGGAGGTCCCTTACAGGAGCCTGACACAGAGATTGGATTATTGGGGTGCCACCCACATTCAAGGAATCTTGGTATGGCGTTGTGGATTAATGTGCTGGAATGCAAAGTTGTTTGAACTGCAAAGTCAGCAGTTCAAGCTCACCAGCCACTCCTAGGAAACCCTATACAGGGTCACTCTGGATCCGAACTGACTCGACAGCATTTAACAACAACAACCCACATTCAAAGCAGCAGGGTCTACTGTCATCTTTGAGTGGGGCTAGCAATCGACTCTGCCAGTGAAGAGATTTAGTTGTTATGTAACATACATGCTGCCTTTGCTTTCTAAAGAGGAGAATAAATTTCTAGTAGAGCATCCATCAGTGGTTTTTCCCATTCCGGTTATCTTTCTGGCACACCCATATTTTACAAACTCAGGTCTGTTCTAGTTTTGCTTCATTAGCCGTGGCAGAACTGAACAGAACATGTTTGAAGTTCTGATTTAAGTTTCTCTTCAGCTGTCTAATTTCATTATCAACCAGCTTTCTTTCCTCTCCATGCCTGTACTTATTTGCATTCTCACCAGGCCCTTCAACAAGTATGAAACCACTGTAATGCTGATTGGCAAAGCAATATGATGATGTTATATGCCGTTGAGTCTGTTCTGATTCATAGCAGCCCTGTATTGGTTTTCCAAGGAGCAGTTGGTGTATACACAAATTAGGTATTTAAATTAGCTGTAGGATCCCTGTCCCCTAGAATGCTGACAATTGCTCTAGACTATAATATAAGCTAAGTATCTCTAGGGTGACATACATAAAGATAGTGGTTGTTTTTTTTTATGTCCAAAAGAAACCCTCAAAGTTGATCCACAAGAAATAGAGGCATAAAAATGCCAAAGACCACATCAAAGAGAAAAATCCAGTGACATCGAATTGATTCGGACTCACAGTGACCCTATAGGACAGAGTAGAGCTGCTCCAAAGAGTTTCCAAGACTGTACATTTTTATGGGAGTAGACTGCTGGTGGATTTGAACCAGTGACCTTGTGGTTACCGGTCCAAGGCTTAACAGCACAGAGAAAAGGCTCTACTTTCTCTTTTGTACTCAACTTTCTCCACTGGGAAAATGAAGATGGGCTTCTTCATTAAGAGAAATTTCAAATATTTATTACCATATTCTTCAGATGTCTGCCTGTGGATACTGAAGCGGCGTGTCAAAAGTGTTGATTCTGTCTGTGCTTTTTTTTTTTTTTTTTTCTTTAGCACCTAGTCTTCTAAAGGTAATTGTATTAGCTGTTATAGAGAATTAACAAATGAACAAATTTCAGTTCCCATCCTCAACAGCAAAGTCAGTTTGAATGGAAAGGTTGACAGTTCAAACTCACCAGCCATAAGTTGGAAAGCCTAACAAGGGTCGCTATGAGTCAGAACCGATTCGACAGCACTTAACAACAACATACATATATGAGTATATGCACACATATAGGTCTCCTTGGAAATCCCATACAGGGTTGCTATGAGTCAGAACCAACTTGATGACAGCAAATATATATATATATATACACACACACATTCACACACATATATATACAGGTAACCCTTGAACAACAGGGAGGTTAGGGGCAGTGATCCCTGTGTAGTTAAAAATTCACATATAACTTTAACTACCCCCAAATTTAACTACTGATAGAGTACTGCTGACTGGAAGCCGTACCAATAACATAAATGATAGAGTACATGTATGAGAGGGCTTCAAAAAGTTTGTGGAAAATTTCATTATTTTTCAATTCCATTTTTCCACAAACTTTTTGAAGATCTCCAATATCATCTACTGCACCTACATATTCAATCTGAGATAAACACATTATTTTGCAAAAAGTGGAAGGTTTTTTGTGCTTGATGGCGTGGCTGCAACAAGGACCTCACACATTTTCTTTTCTTTTTTTCACAATGGTACTTATGCTGGATTCATTACTCTTGAAATGGTGGGCAACCCCAGCTGCAGACCTCAAACTACAGTCCATATCAAGCCATTTACTGGAGAGGCAAATTGGTCATGCAGAGATTAGTGCCACAAGGCAGGGTTTTTTTTTTTTTTGTTGTTGTTGTTATTTTTTAATATGAGTATAAGTTGTTGGAAATGGCAAACAAAAGATTTCAACTACAACAAACGATCTCAAAACATGTCCAAAACCAGAAAAGAGTAACTGAGACAAATGAGCTGGAGACAGACAAAGGCTCCCCAGAAGAGGAAGAGCAGGTTTTGGATTTGCCTGAGAAAGAATTCAGAAGAATGATATGGAAACAAATTCAAATGCTCTGAAAAGGGGTGGAGGAAAACAAGGAAGAAGTCAGGAAAGTACTACAAGAGCAATCAAACAAGATTAATACAGCATTGGAAACAATTCAAAACCTGCAATTAACAATAAAATATCAGAAATGGACAATACAATGAAAGGGGAAAGGAACAGAATAGAAGAGATGGAAGCCAGAACTAGCTATCTGGAAGACAAATCTCTCAATACTGCTAAGATAGAAGAGCAAGCTGAAAAAAGGATTTAAAAAATCTGAAGAGAGTCTGTTGGATAAAATGAAGAGGAACAACTTAAGAATTATTGGCATTCCAGAACAGGAAGAATCAGAGACGTCCACAGAGGAGACAGTTGAAAAGCTTTTAGAAGAAAATTTCCCTAACATCTTGAAAGATGAGTAGATAAACATTCAAGAAGCTGAATGTACCCCAGGAAGGACAGACCCCAAAAGAAAGTCACCAAGACATATAATAATCAAGCTCTCCAAAATCAAAGATAAAGACAGCATCTTGAAAGCAGCTAGAGAAAAGAGAAATATAACATACAAAGGCAAGCAAATCAGATTAAGCCATGACTATTCAGCACAAACCATGCAGGCAATAAAGCAATGGGTAGACATATACAACACCCTAAAACAACAACAAAAAAAATGTCAACCAAGAATCATCTATCCAGCAAAACTATCAATCAAATACAATGGTGCAATCAAAGCATTCTGGGATAAGCAGAATCTAAGAGATTTTATTAAAACCAATCCAGCACTTCAAAACATCCTAAAGGGAGTTCTTTGGACTGAAAACCAATAAGAATAGACAACAACCAGAGATTGACAAGTGTGGCAAAATCACTTGGAACTCAGTTGACAGATAGCAGAGTCCAGAAAAGAACAAAACTACAACAATGAACTCAAAGGAGGTCAACTGAAGATCAAAAAAATATCAATGTCAAAGAAGGGATAAATGTAGGAACAGAGATCCAGGTGGTGAAGATGTCAGGTAGATTACAGGACACAATAGATTCTCTTAAATGGAGAGAAAAGTTAATAAACTATAAGGTAACCCCAAAGAAAGTTCATATATTCTTCACAACTTACCATGAAAATGAACTTCCAAGCAGAACAAGCAAACATGAAAACCAAGAAGAAACTGACAAGAAATAGCACAAAAAAACACAAACTAAACACAAGAAGGCATACAGAACAAAGCAACAAACAGCACTACCAAAAAATTAGCATAATGGCAGCAATTAATTCATACCTATCGATAATTACATTGAATGTCAATGGATTGAATGCACCAGCCAAGAGACAGAGAGTGGCAGAATGGATAAGAAAACAAGAGCCTTCAACGTGCTGCCTGCAAGAGACATACCTTACACACAAAGACAAAAACAGACTAAAAGTTGTAGGATGGAAAAATATATACAAAGCTAACTGCAACAATAAACAAGCATGAGTGGCAATTCTAATCTCTGATAAAGTAAACTTTTAGACAAAAACTAGCATAAGAGATAAAGACAGATACTACCTCATGATCAAAGGGTTGATTGAGCAAGATGACATAACCATAATAAATATCTACGCTCCCAATGAAAAAGCACCAAGATATATGAAGCAAACCTTACTAGAATTGAAGAAAGAAATAGATAAATCTACAGTTACAGTGGGAGATTTTAATATGCCACTTTCAAAAAGGGACAGAACAAGCAGAAAGAAACTCGACAAAGTTACAGAGGAACTAAGCAGCACAATCAACCAACTTGACCTCATAGACGTGTACAGAGCGTTCAACCTAACAACAACACAATATACTTTCTTCTTCAGTGCACATGGAACATTCTCTAGAATTGACCATGTGTTAGGTCATAAAGCAAGCCTCCATAAATTTACAAACATCAAAATACTACAGAGCATCTTTTCAGACCACAGTGCTATAAAACTAGAAATCAACAATAAGAAGACCAAGGACATAAAGCAACTGAGTAAAAGAAGAAATTAAATGTGGGATTGAGGCATGGTTTGAAGGGGGTAAAAGAGGTGAATAGTGTTAAGATGCTTGGCTGTCTTTTGAATCTTGGTTTCCCTTGCCTACCATTGTAAAATAGACACATGAGGTGGGGAGAAAGAAATAGCCAGAATCATCACTACAGAAAGCTTGTAAGTCCATCTTCAGGCTATAACTGATTGGAATACCTTAAAGGGGGCTAGAAGTTGCCAAGTGAAAGAGGCTTCCTGTGGAGCCTTTACATTGTACAAGACCATAGGTGGAATCCAGAATACCATCCAGAACTGACTGAGGTAGGAAATTTCCACTGGAAAGGACAAGTAGACCAGACGGGAGCGGCAAGAAGAATAGAAGATACTTCGTGAAAGAAAGACCAGCAGGAAAAATCCGAAACAGTAACGGCAGTCTGATTACCAAAAGAACAAGTAAGCTGTTTACCTGAGAGCCATCAAGGCAAGAGTCCAACAGACTGAGACTCAAGGGAATACATGAGCAGGCATGTAGTCTGGATGGTGACCACGTTGGGGGAGAGGGGAAAAACAGCAATGAAGTTGCAAGCTAAGCCCGACCACATTCAATAGACCCCCGTGAACCCGGGTGGAGACCTAGATGGCCAGCAGTATGGCAAGACCTGGGGACTCCTGGCCCAGAGGCAGTAACATGGCCACAGAAGACTAGAACAGAGAGTGAAGCATCCATCTGATATGAAGTGAGGGGAGATGCACAAGAACACCTATGCTTGCAGATAGTACCCACTTAACTTGGCTTCAATGGCTGAATGATCAGAACTTGACTAGAAGATGAAAGAAGAGGGGGGGGAAAAAAAAGAGTAACCTGCTACAATTTGATGAACTTTACGTATACTTATGGACGTAGCTCTGGCAGCGTAGTGGTTACGAATCGGGCTGCGAACCTTAAGGTCAGCGGTTCGAAACTACCGGCCGCTCCGTGGGAGAAAGATGAGGCTGTCTACTCCCGTAAGGATTTACACCCTCGGAAACCCTGTACAGGGTCGCTATGGGTCGGAACCGACTCGACGGCACTTAACATCAACATGGACGTAGTAGCTCAAAAAAGGGAACAAATCTTTACAGCAAGGATTATTCCCAACCCCTCGGTACACAGAGTTGACAGGGATGGGCAACATAGACATTGGCTACCCAAAATAGGAGAGCCTATAAAGGCCTATAAAGGAGCTCTGATAGCATAGTGGTTACGAATTGGGCTGCGAACCTCAGTGTCAGAAGTTCGTAACTACCAGCTGTTCCATGGGAAAAAGATGAGGCTTTCTGCTTTACAGCCTCGGAAACCCTGTACAGGGTCACTATGAGTTGGAACCGACTCCATAGCACATAACAACAACATAAAGGCAGGAAGTGACTAGTTTACAAGCTTTCAAGAGGGAGCCTGGTTCCAGATGGGGCGGGGGAAGGTAGAATCACCACTGAATGAGTTCCAATCCATTGGGACTGGGCTGGCAAAAGGAAATGGGGATAAGACTCTTGTGGTACAATAGTGAATAATTGCTATCAGGTCTGACTGTGAGGCTAGGAAATATAGAGCAAGATGTTTTTTGTCAAAAGGAGGAGAGTGATTGATTTTGCAGCCCAGGAGCGGAGGTCCCTGGGACCATCAAGTGAGAAGAATGGAGAGTGGGATCCTACCCAGAGAGACAGTGACGCCAGGGATGGAGACAGAGAAGATGACATGGACAGATGGAGTGGCTGGAGACACTGGACTCAGGGAGGGAGAAGGGCTGTGTGCTGGCGGTGGGGGTGGGGTCGGAGGACCTGTGTGGTGTGTGATGATGTATGGAGGGGACTGTAATCATCGCAATGAAACGAAATATGATAGGGTGACTGTAAAGCTGATGTTCTCCCATGTGAACCTCACAATAAAAACTTAAAAAAAAAAAAGGGAAAGTGAGGAAGGAACGAAGCTTCAAGCAAAACCACTGACTTTTATTTAATTTGATTGACAATGAATATTAAAGAAATATATGCAATTCTTTCATATATTTGGGGGTGGATGGAAGAGCGATGATGGGAAAATAGTAAGTCCATTGGAGTTTGATGATCCTCTTCCCTTTACTTTTACGCAGGACGACTCCATGAAGCACATCTCAGAGGGCTGCCCTGGGGTGCTGTATCTCAATCTATCTAATACAGCTATCACCAACAGGACTATGCGGCTCCTGCCAAGGTAACGCTGCTGTTATCTGAGTTACACTGAAAATAATTATGTGCCTATAGGCTCTGGCTTCCTCTTAAAAAGAAGATCGGCAATCAGTGAGATGAAATTAAGTATGAATTACTGAATTAAAACTGATGATTCACTCTGTAAATCTTCACCCAATTCACAATTTAAAAAGGTTTTTTTTTTTTTAAGTTAAGAAAACAGTAAAAGATTGAGAAGCTTTTTCTGAAATATGAATTTTTAATTTTAGATCCTTTTAAAATGACAGCAAAGCATTTAGAAGAAATTAAGGAGAAAATTCTGGGTGATTATTTGCCTTATCTCCTGATTCCAACCATTTTCTACAAATGTGCAAACCTGAACAAGTAGCAATGCACTACAAGGTCGGTGGTTCAAGTTCACCAGCCATTCCTCGGAACTGACTCGACAGCACTTAACAACATTTTCAGTTTATCCTTTTAATTCACTTCCACATTTCATTTAGTCAGGTCTGTCAAACTTTTCCCCTGAAATTTCCTCTGACACTTTTAAACCTAGAAAGCTCCTTTCCTTCTAGTCATTTGATAAATGTTTACTTGCAGCTTTTCAAAAACATTTTTTATGGTTTGTGGTCAAGATATGTGGACTGAATAACTAACCGATTATTCCAGCTTCATTTATTGAGTAAGCCTCCTTTTACTAAGGAATGTGTGATGCCTCCTTATATATCTAAATTTCTTGTGTTGTTGCTGTTGTTAAGTGCCTGTGAGTTGGTTCTGACTCATAGTGACCTTGTACAGGGTTTCGAGGCGTGACTGCTGAGTTGGAACTACTGACCTTGTGAATCAAACCGACCTTGTTTTCCAGTGCTTTACGCTACAGCGCCACACCAGGCATTAACTATTAAAACTCATCACTCCCTAACATTTTCTGTTTGTTACTATTATCTGTACTCTTGAGGTTATTTATTGTACCTGCATGGTGAAAACACTAGTTAAAGGGGAGCTACTCCCCAACTCTCTGCTCAGTGACTTCTCTTTGGCAGTTTGAAATCAGTCAATACGGGGATATTCTGTATAATGAAATTGGCAACTGCCGCAAATCACGGCACAATTTGTTCATTGTTTTTCATTGAGAATGTGATGAAACTACCAGCTGTTCCGTGGGAGAAAGATGAGGCTTTCTGTTCCCATAAAGATTTACAGCCTCAGAAACCCTGTACAGGGTTGAGGAGTCAGAACCGACTCATAATGCTAACAGAGCTCCTTACAAGCACTTAACAACATCGTCAACATTACAGGGACTGAATAAGCATGGTTAAAGGATATATCCCTGATGCACACCTTTCCTGATCTTAAACCACATAGTATTCCTTCTTTTCAAATGACTGCATTTTTAAGATGTTGTTAAGAGTTGTTGAATTGGTTCTGACAAATAGAGACCCTATATAGGATTTCTGAGGCTGTAAATCTTTGTGGGAGCAGAAAGCCTCATCTTTCTCCCAAAGAGTGGCTGGAGGTCTCTAACTGCTGACCTTGTGGTTTGTAGTCCAGTGCTTACCCTCTAGAGCAGGGGTGGGGCCATAGAAGGTCCGTGAAATCACTTGGTCTGGCCCTGCCAAGGTAACCTCAGTTCCAGCCATCACATTGTTGTTGCTATGTGTCGTGGAATCGATTCTGAGTCATAGCGACCCTGTACAGGGTTTCCAAGGCTGTAAATCTTTACGGGAGCAGAAAGCCTCATCTTTTTCCCGTACAACAGCTGGTAGTTTCGAACTGCTGACCTTGCAGTTCGCAGCCCGATTCGTAACCACTACGCTACCAGAGCTCCTTAGCCATCATATTAGGGATGAGTTAATTAAATGTTTGACAAAATATAGTGGCTAAATTTTAAGTTGATAATTTTGAATGGCCCACAAATGATGTTGTAAAATTTGGCAGAAAACAGTTTCCCCACCCCTACTCTAGAGCCACCGTGTTCCCATCAAAATTATATATCTTAAAAATATGTGTCAGTTTAAATCTTTGGTTTTGTTTGTTATTAAATTGCATGTTTGGTCTTTAGAATTAATTTCTCTGGTAGAAAGCAGATACTGACTAGAGGCAGGAAATAGAGTTCTAGCCTCGACTTGACCATGGGCAGAGCATTTCAGGTTCCTCATTTGTAAATATGAAGGCAGGACTAGATTTTGTATAAATTTATTTTAATCTATCATATTTGGTATTTCTAATATTCTACCACCCGTTAACACTCATCACCTGTGACCAAGCCTCATGAAAGAATTGTCATCCAGTCTGGAAGCTCTCAGAAAAGTCCAGGGGAGTCACTTACTGTCATATACTTTTATAGTTTTTGTTGTGGTTAATGCCATCGAGTTAGTTCTGACTCATATTAACCTAGGAGCTGCTGGTGGGTTTGAACTGCTGATCTTTCAGTTATAAGTCTAGTGCTTATCATACAGTACCATACCAGTAAAAATAGTAAGATGTAAAAATTAATGGTAAATTTAAAAAATACACACATATGCATACATGTTTTAGAGAAACAGTTGTTAAACATTTGTTGCTGTTAAGTACCATCTAGTAGGTTTCAACTCATAGTGATCCTGTAAAGGGTCTCTGAGGAGTGGCTGGTGAGTGAACCATCAATCTTGTTCAGTGTTTATTCTATAATGCCATACTGGTACTCAAATAATTAAACATAAAAATAAATGCAAAACTGTATTTTTTCAAAATGTAGTCATCCTTTCAGAAGCTCTGTATCTCTCAGTAAAATTTTGTTTCATTCCTACAAATAATTTTTTTATAAACATTATTTCCTAGGTGTTTTTTGGTTTTTAGTTGTCATTGTGAAGAGTTTCCTTTCTGCTTATATTTTTTCATTATATTTTCAGGTGATCAATTTTAAGTCTTGGGTAGGAGGTATAGGTATCTTTTTAAATGGAATCATTTAATTGATTTATTTCATTTTAAAATTAAAATAAATCAGTTAGGGCCCTGAAGTTAGTTCTAAGTAAGAATTTGGGAAAATCTTGTAAGATTTGAAAGCATTGTTCTCATTTCCTAAGCAAATTATTATGTTTGATATCCTCTTTGACCCAGTACTAACTTAGATGGGAGGTTTTGATTCCAAATGGTTGACGTTTCTTTGACTGAGCTTCTGTTTTTAATTTCTAATGCATTGTGGTCAAGAAATGTGGGCTGAATTATTCCTATTTTTTGATTTATTGAGACTTCTTTGTGCACTAGTATATAATTAGTTTTAGTAAATGGTCCATAAATGCTTAAAATAAAGAGAATGTCTTGTAGAGAAAAAAAATTCTATGTGTATATGTGTGCATACATGCATAAATTCTTGCTTTTATAGTATGATAGAAGTATATTCGTTTTTTACTATTATTATTTTATACATAAAGATCCATAAGTATTATGCTTCATTCTAGGTTATAGCATTTATTCATCTAAAATTATATCCTTTATTCTGGTTAATATCACTTTGCCTTGAGTTTGATTTTGTCTGCTATTAATACTACCACTTTTCTTTTGCTTTTATTTTCATGAAATAACTTTATATACCTTTTTATTTTTAACCTTTGCATAATTGTGTTTTAGATTTGTCTTTTAAATATTGCATGTAACCAAATTCATTGTTTAAAAAAAAAACATTTTCACTCTCTTTGCCTTTTAAGAAGGAAAATTTAAAGAATAATATTTCTTGTAAAAATTGAATATATGATCTTATTTTTATCAACTTGCCTTGTGATTTAAATTTTTAAAAAAATTATAGGCTCAGTAAAAGGTTACACAGCAAATAAGGTTTCCATTTTACAATTTCTATACAATTTGTTCAGTAACACTGGTTACATTTCATACAGCGTGTCAACTTTCTCATTATTTCCTTTCTCATTGTCCCGTTTCTAGCAATCTAGTTTCCATGCTCCATTGGTTTTTCCTCAGTGCATTAGAGTAAGTGCTGATAGTTTGGTTTCATATAGATGACTTTTAAAGGAGCATAGACTGCAAAGCCATTTGAATTGCTAGGTTGGCGGTTCAAGCTCACCAGCTGCTCCTTGGGAACCCTCTACAGGGTCACTATGGGTCAGAATCAACTCGATGGCACTTCACAACAACAACAGTACTCATAGGCGATACTGTTTATTTTACAGGCCAATTTGTTATTTACTTAAAAGATGACCTCATGGTATAGTTTTGGCTCAAGATTCAAAGAGTATCTCAGGCAGTCCTCCGATCTTAACTGGGACATCAGCTATGGACTTTTAAAGAAGTTTTTATTGTGAATTATATGTTGGTTAAATGGGAGAACACCAGCTTTACATTCATCCTACCGTATTTCGTTTCACTGCTATGATTACAATCCCCTCCATGCATCATCAAACAACCAAAAGGTATACACTGCAAGCCTGACCCCCGGCCGTCAGCACACAGCTCCTCTCCCTCCATGCGTCTAGAGTTCCCAGTTGCTCCATCTCTTCACATCATCGTCTCTGTCTCCATCTCTGGCATCACTGCTTCTCTGGATAGGGTCCCGTACTCCGCTTCTCACTTGATGGTCCCAGGGACCTCCACTCCTGGACTACAAGATCAACCACTCCCCTCCTTTTGTTATAAAACATCTACGTTTACATTTCCAACCCTCTCAGTTAGTCCTGATAGCAATTGTTCATTGTTGTACCAAGCTATGGACTTCTTAAGAAGTTGAGTCCCAGTTTCACATTTTGCTCCCATTCTATCAGGATCTATACATCGTGTTTCTAATCAGGCAGTGGTAACCTGGCAACAACTAGTTCTTCTGATCTCAGCATAGATGAGGATGTGGTTTGTGCAGAACATTAGGCCTGTGGACTAGTTTCTTGTTTGGTTTCTTGGTTGTTACTCCAGACATGCAGAGACCAATAATTATATCTTAGATGGCTGCTTTCCCACACATCTGTCAGTTTATCCTACTGTGGTTGCTTGTGTGTTTCTATGACGCTAGAAGCTATGCCACTGGTGTTTCAAATACCAGCA